ATCATCATCATCATCATCATCATTCATTTCATCATTTATTAGACTGTTATCATCGTATTGGTCATTGGTGGTGTTTTGAGTTTTTGGTGCTGCTGGTGTTGCTGCTGCTGATGATGCTGATGATGATTCTGATTCTGACGACGACGACGACGACGACGACGACGACGACGATGGTGATGATGCTGGTGATGCTGATGATGCTGATGCTGATGAAGATGCTGCTGCTGCTGATGATGATGGTGATGATGATGATGCTATGTTGACTTTGGAATTTATACCTTCAATAATTTCTGGTAATTCTGATGGCATAAATAATTTGATTGGTTGATTTTTAATTGTTTGACTACTACTTGGTTCAACTTGTGAATTTGTCGAACTATCTTCATTACTATCATTATTATTATTGGATAAGGATGGTGTAGATTCTAAGGTTGTTTTTATCACCTTTGTTGAATTCTTTGATGGTGAATATGTTGCCCATTTAACTACTAATTCATATATCTTCTCTTCAGAACTGACATTGGCTTCATCATTTTCAAGTGCGAGACATAATATATTTGGATTAGCATGTAAGGTAGATTCTTTTTCCAAAAGTGCATCAAGATACAAGGCAACATAATCTTTACATGTAGCTGAAGTTTTTGCACATGAATATTTCTCTTTTTTTTTTTTTAATGTAATGCGAAATTATCAAGTATAAAGTGTAAAATCAAGTAAGAAATTTTGTTGGTTGATTTGATTATTTAAAAAGTCAACATCAGCATCACAAATATAATTATATTTACCAGAAATAGCCCAAATTCCCCAAACATTATCAAGATTCAATTCCAATCGAAAATATCTTAGACATTCTTCTCTAACAGGCGCAATAGCAAACCTATCAGCCAAAACGAGTAAATGTTCAGCCTCATATGATGAGTTGATCTTAAACTTTGACGTGTAAATAATATTTAATAAAGTAAGGAAAGCCGAATGATTTATTTGATGAAGCTTGATTTTATCTTCGAATGTTTCTTTCATTCCATTTGTTAAC